GATATTTGTAAGGTATCAGCTTCTTGTTTGACCAGTACCAGTGGTCATCGGAGGAGCCCTGGTGGCACAGCGGGCTATGCATTGGGCTGCTCACCTCAGGGCCAGAGGTTCGGGAGTCAGATGATGTTTTCTCCTCCAGTAAAGAGTGACAGTCTTGGAAACCCACAGGGGCAGTTCGGCCCTGCCTGGTAAGATCACTAGGAGTTCAGGATCACTTTGATGGCATTGAGTTTGGCTTCTGAGTTGCCACGGAGTTGATGGAGACTCAGAGTGACCCTATGTACAGTCTCAGGAAAATAGATCAACCAGCTCGTTTGAAATTCAGTGACCTCATGAGAAGATACATGGCACAAATTCGTCTCCTATACTTTGAGCATGTTCTCAGGAGGAGCCAGTGCATGAAAAAGGAGCGTGTGCTTGGAAAAGCAGAGGGTTGGGGAGGAAAGAGGAAGGCCGTCAAGGCGAGAGACTGAAACGGACTCCAAGGGGCTCAACATTTGTGGCGGTGGCGCAGAACCCGTCTGGATTTCATTGTGTCGTAGGCAGCGTTAGAACCCACTCCACTGCACTTTAGGACGACTACCCCCAGGAGGCCGAGGAACTTCTGAAGAAGCAATAGTCACCAGAAAAAAAATAGAGCCCAAATAAAAACTGAGGCAGGAAGGGAGCTCATGTCCATGAAGACCGGCACATGCATGTTTAGAGCAGTTTCATTCATACCAGCTTGACGGACAGGAGGCCTGATGGTGCCGTGGCTATGTGTTGCAAGGTCTGCCGTTCAAAAGCACCACCCATCCATTCCTCAGGAGAAAAATGAGGCTTTTTACTCCTTTACAGGTACAGTCCAGAAACCCTGATGGTGGAGTGGTTACATGTTGGGTGGGTAACTGCAAGACCAGCGGTTTGGAAGCACCAGCCACTCCATGGGAGGAAGTGGAGGCTTTCTACTCCTTTTAAAAAGTTAGTCCCAGAAACCTGTATAGGGACAGTTCCACTCTGTCCTAAAGGGTCAGTGTGAGTTAGGATCAAGCCAATAGCAGTGAGTGAGCGGTGAATGGACATACAAATCGAGCTATAGCCATAATACCAGACTACTACTCAGCAGTGCATAGTGATGGACAACCGATACATGTAACAACATGGGTGAATCTCAAAAATACTATGTTGAGCAGCACAAGTGAGACACAGAAGCGAATAATCTGGATGATTCTATTTATAGATGAAATTCCGTAATGGGCAAAACTAGCCCTGGGCGACAGAAACATCAGTGGGTTCCTAAGGCCAACAGTGAGTAGGGTCAAATGTAAAGGGGACACAGAGAAAGTTTTCAGGTGATCGAAACATTCTACGGTATGACTGGAGTGGGACCCGGGGTGTGTACATTTGCCAAAACACATCTAAGTAGACACTTAAAATTGGTAGATTTGATAGTGGGTACATTAGTCCTCCACTGAGTGGCTTTAAAAATATATCCATCGCAGCCTAGCTTCAATCTTCACTGCTACACTGCCACCTCTCTGACTCCTCTCCTTCCTCTCTCCACAGAGCCTACACTGTGTCCTCAGCATGACCTTCAGCTCTGTGTCCACCTGCCTTCCAGGGGTCACTGCCTCTGGTTTCTTCCCACCCCACCCCACTGGATCCACAACCAGTGACTTAAGTGACTCCCTCCCACTCCACCCCTACCCTCCTCTCTGGAGTATGCTAACCAGCCTGAGACATCCCCAAGGTATACCCTGTTCACTTTCTCTGTCCTCCATTCTAGAGCTGCGGAGAATTTGTTGGATAAAGTAAAAATTAAAAAGGCAATTCAGGGTCCACCATAAACTCATACCCTCAACTCTCATCCGTCTACACATTGGCTAATCCAAATCCTCCCACCCTGTCTGACTGACTCATTCCCAAAGTCCTCCAATCCTGACTCATGCCTTTTCCTTTCATCTGGTCTTGTGTGTCTCCAAAGGTATCCAGAATTGACATGTAATCTATTTAAGCCTATTGATTCTATTTCTAGAGTGTCTATTTTTACTCTTCCTTGTCCTCGTGGCCCACACCTTAGTTCATACCTTCACTTCCTCTAGTTAGACCTTCAAAACGACCTCTTTCTGGAAACAGTGGGAGTAGAAGTAATAACTACAAACACTGGACTCATAGGTGCTTTGTCGGGGTTCTCTCATCTAATCCTTTATTATTGTTCCCATTTCACAGGTGAGTGAACTAACGTTTAGTGTCTTAGAGCAAACTGTCAAAGCAAGTAATGCAGCTCTAAGTGGCAGAGCAGGATTCAAACAGGTGCATCTGATTCCTTCCTCCCGTTCTCTCAAATTCAACTGCCAAATTAATTTTCTGAAAAGATAAATCATGTCACTTACTGTTTAAAACTTTCTCATGTTTTCCAGCCACTACCCACTTAAGTAGAGTTTCCATAGCAAGGCATTAAGGACTTTCATAGGCTAATTCAATCCAAAATTTCCAGGACTACAAGTAGTGAACTCCAGCTTACAACCCACATGTCTTAGGCTAGGTTCTCTGAAGGAGCAAAACCAGTGAGGCATATGTGTATAAACACACATATGTGTATAGAGAGATTTATTTCAAGGAAATGGCTTGCACAGTTGTGGAGACTATCAAGTCCAAATCTGTGGGTTGGGTGTCAGGCAGGAGGTGTCTTCTGACTCAGGTGGTTGAAGGGGCAAACTCAAAATGACAAGCGTGATCAAAGAGCAGGCTGCTGGCTCATCCTAAAACCCGCAGGTCAGATGGCAGGCTGCTAACTCATGACCCAAGAACTGGAAGTTGGGAGGATGATGAGTGGAGGGCAGAACTGACAAGGGAACGAGCTTTGCGAGAATAATTATATATATTGGATGCAGGCCACACCCCCAAAGAAATTTCCTTTTCAACTGATTGGCTGCTCACATCAGATCACAAAATGAAAGTTAATTACATAATATCAACCAAATCACTGAGAATCATGACTTGGTCAAACCGATACATAACCTCAACCATCATTTTGTAGTTCTAAGTCAACCAATATAAAACCTATTTTATGAGGGGGGAGGCGCATGTGCAAAAATTTTATGGAAAACGAAGTAAAAGATAATGGACTTTTTTATGTGAACATTTAGAAATCCCCTGGTATATTAAAAACTTGAGGTACACACAATGGTTCATAACAACGAACGGGAATGTTATTATCATTATTATTACTGTGTATTTATGTTTACGATGTTTTGTGTATTTGGAAGTGTTTCTTTAATGCTCTGAACACACAGAAAGATGTACTATATATACTGAGACAAGCATTGACTCACTGATGTTAGATACAAACATACCCACATTTTCAGACTTACAATTCAACGTACAGACAGATTCAGGATCAGAACTAGTTCATTATCTCGTGACTGTCAAGCTGTTCTCTATATTCCAGATAAACACAGCTGTCTCTTGCTCACTGTGGTCCACTTGAAATATCATCTATGGCCCTCTTCCAAATCCCTCCCATCTCTCAAGACCCGTGTTCCTACTTCTCCCTGTATTTCGTTAGAACTCCACTATGTGGTGTACCAAGCCTATCTTTGGCTGTGTCTGTGCTGGTCTCTCCCCTCCCTGCTTATAAGCTCCCGGTGGGGTAGAGATGGACGCTCCCTTCTCGGAGTCTCCAGCATGCTCCAGCTTAGGCCTTGCCTTACTTATTCAACTACGAAATAAACACTAATCTGTCACCCCACTCTCTGCACCATCTTTCTAAAAAGTCTTACACATCCTTTTCTACTACATCGTATGAGTGGACATATTTTCTCTGTCATTATGCATCTTTTCAATAAGATCCTGACATCGAAGACAGTCATATGATCCTTAAATGCAGCCACCAAGTCATGTGTACACTTGGGCCTTTCACCAACCTTCTGCCATCTTGTCTGCCAGCTTTCTCTACATGACCATCCAGGGATTGCAAGCCACACAGCCTTTGGCAGTGTTACTGCTGCTGTTCTTGCCCCGTCTGGTGACAGCCTCCCAATCACTCACTCCCGTGTTTGAGCCCTTAACGCATATCAGAGAATCTTTTTTGCTGACCCTCAACTTCAGCTTTCTTCTCTAGAGACTGGTCCCTCCTGGTGACAATGCTGACACACGTGAGACAAAGTCTCTCCCCTCCTCACTTCTAAGAAGTACTCTGGCTGTACTTTTTCCAAGACAGATTTGTTCTTTTTTCTGGCAGTTCATGGGACAGTCACTCAGCAACATAGGCATCCATTCTTCTTTGATCTTCACTAGTCGTTATACCCAAATATTAGTTCTCAAAGACCCTTGTGAGTCACCAGGTATATATGGAATGCCTGTAATCCCCCAGGAGGTATTTTCACAACTCAAGCAAATCACATGAGCAGCAATGTTCTTCCTGTTACTAATAATTTCTCTGAATTTTCAACACCAGCTCCCAGGCCCCCAAATGCTCCTTGTTGTCAGTCTCTTGGAAATACCACACACAGTACATAACAAAAGCAAGCCAACTCGGCAGGGCCCATGAAACACAATTCATGAGACCAAATGGCAGGTATCCCGCCATGGCTGCCAAGCCGGGTATGTGTCTTTTAGACGTCAGATGTCCTGGTCAAGCCCCCACATCCCAAAAAGGCCCTGTAATCTTGTCCAAGTTCTACATCTAAATTCACAGGTAGGTCACTCACTCCCCATTCTACTTCCAGTCCCATGTTATACATAAACTAGGATAGGGAGCCAGTTCTGGGGTCCCACCAGAAGTTCTCACGTGGAGCAAAGCCAAAAAACCTACCTCTGGTTTTATGAACCCAATCTTTGTTGACCTTGGTTATGTTTATAACCAGAGCCAAGCCAGTTTCAGGTGCTCCAGAATCCCTCCAACAGCCAAGGAGCCCTCCCTTTCTCTCCACCTGGACTGGAGCTTTCCAGTGACCTCTTCCCAGCCCACCCCCGATTCTGAGGCCCAGGGTCTGGGCTGCCTTCCCTTCATGCCTTACCTTGTTCGGGCAAAGTTGGGGCCGGCCTGGCAGTGCAGAGTGTGGCTGTGACCAGCACAGCCCAGAGGAGGAGGCACTTCCAGCTCCACATCCCAGTTCTGCAGTTAGAGGTTGGTGACAAGGTTCCAGACCTCCATGGGGACTCCACCTTGAGTTCAATTCTCCTTCTCAAGCTGACTCTGAGGAAATGAAACACCAAAAAGTTAGGAGGGCCTGGGTGGGAGGGGAGGCAAGAAGTAAGAAAGACCTGGGGCACACTGCCATCCTGGCCAGAAGGGTATTTGAAGCGATGCTGTGCTTCTTAAAACACAAAGAAAACTGGGATCCCACCCAAGTGTTGAATTAAGGTGACAGGTCTTATTAGACAGAAACCAGCCAACCAGTTGCCGCAGAGTTGATTCCAACTCAAGGTGACCCCGGGGGTGCCAAAGCAGAAGCGTCTTCCCCAGGGTTTTCAGTGGCTGTCTTTTTGGAAGCAGAGTGCCAGGCCTTCCTGCCAAGGTGACTCTGGGTAGACTCAAACCACCAACCTTCCAGGTAGCACCTGAGCTGATGAACTGTTTGTATCACCCAGTGACTGACTCCTAAGTAGACCAGAGCGTATTTCCATTTCATTTTACATCTATTTATTGATAGAAGACTATTTGGAAGCTCTGCTGGGAAAAATCCTCCCGAAGTTCCCCAGGGCGTAGGCTATAAAGAGAACAAGGTACAAGGGCAGCGTGAGGGCCTCCTGGAAGTCCTGGGTAGTTCTGCTGTTTTGTGGATGAGGGTTTCACCAAGCGTGCTGGGACGGGAGGAGACAAGTGTGTGGTGTCTCCTCCAGTGTTACTCTTCACTCAGCCCAGACAAACGGACCCCGCAGGGAAGCAGAAGAGCACTGAAGAGCTACGGAAGCAGCCAACGACCATGAAATGGCACGCTTGGTTCCAGGCTTAGCTTAGTCGCTCGCTGTGTAACTCAAGAAAAAAAGCTGGACCTCTCTGGACCTACGCCGTGCCTAAGTGGAGACAAATGATCTCCAGAGTTCTCGTTATCCTAAAAGTGTATGAATTACAAGGATCCCCAATTCTACCAGCCTCCCTAACGGATGGACCACAACCCTCACTACACTTCTTAAAGGGGCCTCAGAGTGTGGAACCACGAGGTGGACTTAGTTCTCCTTCCTGATGCTGAAAGGTGACTGCTGAGGTGAGGTATACAGTGAACCCTCGCCACTTCGCGCTTCGACTTCCGCGGCTTCACTCTATCGCGGTTTTTGCGTAACAGCGCACGCTCTGTCATTACTGCCACTGATTGGCTCATACTGTACACGCTTGATGCCATAAATAATATAATAAATAATAAATGATAATTGTAACGTCCAAAATGTTTTACTGTATTTTCCCTTTTTCGTTTAATAAATTGGGTAATACGAGTGTAATGGTGACTAAAGGGTGTTTTTTCATGTCCTCTATGCTCTAACTACGAAAATATTTGATTTACAAATAAGGAATCCTACTTCGCGGAATTTCATTTATCACGGTAGGGTCTAGAACCGATTAACCACGATAAACGAGGGTTCACTGTAAATGAATCCACGAGTGTAGGGGATGAGGGGTGGGGAGTGTCCCACTGAAGAGTCAACTACTCATAGATGGCTCATGCCAGCCCCAGTTAAAAACCTGCCCAGCCTCTATGGCTCTAATCTGGAGTGGTAAAATTTTAAAACTCCCTGGGGTCTTAAAGAGTAAATCATTGCCACTCAATATTTACCAAGCTTCCAGGCTCTCTGGGCACTATTCAGGCAACACGGGGGTGACCATCTCTGTCTTCCAGGTGGCTTTTGTCCTAAATGCCCAGGGAACCATCCAAGTTATTCAGAGAATCCACTTCCCCGGAACATGCCCTAATGTGGTGCATCAGCCCTGCCTACCCCCCTGGAGCCAGCCTGGGCCCCTTTCGAGTGAGTCAGTCCCGGCTGGCAGCAACACCCCTGGATTCTTGGCTTCGTTCACATGTGGTCACTAGCAGGACTGCGCATGTGTGCCCACTAACTCCGTCCAAGGCTTACACAACGTTTACATGATTTCAAATCAAAGGTGAAATCAACCTTTCCCTTTCATTTAGGGAAACTTAGGGAAAGGACTAGAAGAGACAGTATAAAAGTTACATTCACTGAGCACTTACTATGCATCCAGCATACACCAGGCACTATTTATAAACGCCCTTTTTCCCCCCTTCCACCACAGTCTTATGTGGAGTAGGAATTATTATTATTTTCCCCTTTAAGTAACACTCAGAGAGGTGACATATTTAGTCTAAGGGCATGCAACTCAAAAGCAATGGTACCAGGGTTCATCATCCAGGTTTTGGGGTGTTAGAGGACAAGGTGGGAGGACACAAATAAGGGATTCATCACACCTGGCTCAATTCGACTCACTGGTTTCCCCCCAAAGGTCACCCTCGTGGCATGAAGAAACTGGGCACACAAGAGGCAAAGGAAGGGTGGCTCTTAGGGAAAAAAAACAACACCTCACTGCCACTGAGCCGATTCCAACCCATAGCGACCCTATCAGAGAGAGTAAACCTTGCCTCTGTGGGTTTCCAAGGCTGTAAATCTTTATGGGAGGAGAAAACCCTATTTCTTCTCCTGAGGAGTAGCTGGTGGCTCAAGATTAGCAGCCCATGTATAATCCATTAGGGTTCCTCTGACTCTTTGAAAGAGTCTCAATTCTCAATCACTTTGATCAAAAGAACGACCCTTGGAAGCAGACTGCCGACACACAACCCCAGGCCTGGAGAAGTGATGCTTGTCAGAGGACATCCATAGGCCCTATCTCCCCATCTCACTGCATCCCCAGGGCACAGGGAGCTGCGAAGGTCCCTGAGCAGAAAGGTGCTCCAGGCTAAGAGAAAAAGGAAGTACCACAAGAGCCACCAGAGTAATGGATGAGTGTAAAGTATCCAACAGGAAAGGGTGGCTTCATCTCTAGATGCTTAAGATTGGTTTCAAATGTACCCGATAAGCAGCTTCCTTTCACCACCAGTTGATCATTCTGTCCCCCGAAAGACCTGCCCACCATCACCTTACAGGCAGACAGACCTGTTTAGCTCTGTGACCAATGCCCTTCAAACTAATCTGGCATAACGAATGGCCCTTCAGCTCATTCCCAAAAAGGTGCAAAAGTCTCTTCCTCTGCCTAAGTTTCACAGCTGGAAAACAAAGGGTGTTTAAGAAAACTCAGCCTGCTGGGTCTTCTCCTGGAGGCACCAACTCCTGGAGCAAGAGGGCACACACCCCATTCCACAAACCTGCAGAAAGCAGTTACACAGCTCTTCCACATTCTGTCTGGCACCCTGAGGTCTGCCACTATCTCCTTTACTTTGCCTTCTCATTTTTCCTAATTAATAAATTCTTAAAACCCCTCAGGATGAGTCTCCTTCCCTCATTGCTTGACAGATGTGATCCACAGCTTCACAGGTATACACAGTAGCTTTCTCAGAGAGCCCGCCTCAGTCTCTCCAGAGACATGCAACCCAACTTCACCTGGGGGAAGAAGCCCTCTCGGGGAACATAGGGGTCAGAAGACAACTCTGCTTCTCATCAGAGGGGCCTCAAAGACTTGTTCAGCCTCTATCACAGGTGCTGGAGAAGACTGAGTGAGTAATGTGGGTGTTAGGTGTTTGCCCCTGCTCCCATCTCCTAAGAGCTAATCCAATGTAAAATGGTGGG